TCCTGCTTCTCCACAGGTCTAGTAATTTTTGTTTGTGTACTGGACAATGCTGATGATCATTGTAGAGATTCTGGATTTTGTTGTCTTCCTTTTAAGAGTGTTTATTTTGCTCTAGGAGGTAGGTCAATTACTGATTTAAATTTGTGTGGGTTTGGTTTTATGCTTTGTTAGAGCACATCTGTGTAAAGCTCAAGGTGTTGATCAGGACCTTCTGACTTGGTGGGATTCAATCTCCAGATTCTGTCCTCCCTGTAGATCTTGTAGGTGCTTAGTTTTAGGCTTTTTTTTTAAGGGTTGGTAAAGAGAAGGCCTTATACTAAGGGAATGGCCCTTTCTCCTAAGCCTTTCTCCTGGCATTTCTAGTATTTCAGTTGGGTTCTCAGGATTTTAATGAGGTATTAATGCAATCTCTTTCCTCTGTCTGGGCCAGACCTCCAATGCTCCCCAGCACTGATTAACACAGCTCCTCCCTGGAAAATCTCATGTTGTCTCACCCTGTGCATGTGGATTCCAACTCTTAGCCAAGGATAGGGAGGGGAACCTCATGCTGTCTTCTGACCTGTCCTCTTCACCTATGCACTGCTCCCTTCTCTCTGGTGTCTTATATTGTAGAGACCAGCCTTTTTAACTGCCCTAAACTCTGATTTCTGCCTCCTCAGCTCTTTGAAGGCTTCTTTGCTTTGCTTAGACTCTAGCTCACTACATTGCAGTCAGGAAATTGTCCCTAGGCAAAGAACCAGGATAATTGTGAGGATTCATATCATGAGTTTTCCTTCCCTTTGGAAGATTACAGTATTGTGTTGCCTGTTGTCCAACACTTAAGAAAAGTTGCCTCCGAGATTTTGTTGAGTTTTATGTGTTTTTTTTTATAGTGGGAGGAGTATAAAATGGAGTATTATAATCATTATAACCAGAAGCAGAAATGCTTTTTATTCTTTAAAAAAGTTTGTTGTTATTTTTAATTTCAATATGTATTACTGTAAGGAGATTGGTGATCTGGATTCACTCTGTCATTTTTACCCCAAAGCCTTATATTTTAATACAAATCTTTACTTTTTTTTTGTTTACATCTACAGTTTATGAATATCTCTATTCTCTTCCTACTCTTCTCTCTGAATGAGAAAACTTTTCTTATTTCCCCCATTCAATTCCTCCAGGTTGAGGACATGTTTATCATTGCCTTATTTTATTCTTCCCCTTGCTATTTCCTGTGTTCAGGTCATATGAATATTTATGGTAGATTGTCTTTTAACAATTATTTAAAATTACTTATCAATTTAATTTTGATTCTTTGCTTATTATATCCTTGTACTTTCCTCGTTGATTCACTTTTTTTTTTTTTTTTTTTTTTTTTTTTTTTTTTTTTTTTTTTTTTTTTTTTTTTTTTTTTTTTTGAGACAGGGTCTCACTCTGTTGCCCAGGCTGGAGTGTAGTGATGTGATCCTAGCTCACTGCAACCTCCGCCTCCCAGGTTCAAGTGATTCTCCTGCCTCAGACTCTCAAGTAGCTGGGACTACAGGCATGCACCACCATGCCCAGCTAATTTTTGTATTTTTAGTAGAGAGTAAAAAATTTGTATTTTTAGTGAAATCCCCATTTTGGCTAGGCTGGTCTTGAACTCCTAACCTCAAGTGATCCACCCACCTCAGCCTCCCAAGGCACTGGAATTACAGGCGTGAGCCATGGCACATGACTCACTTACTTATTTTTTAAGCTTTGCTAATTTAAAAGCTTTTAATTTTATAGTATTTATTTTCAGATGGAGTTTGTGCATAATAGGTGGGTTAGTTTTTTTTTTTTGAGACAGGGTCTTTTCTGTTGCCCAGGTGGAGTGCAGTGGTGACATCTTGGCTCACTGCAGCTTCAATCTCCTTGGCTCAATCAATTCTCCTACCTCAGCCTCCTGAGTAGCTGGGACTACAGGGGCGTGCCAGCCCGCCTCGGCCTCCCAAATTGCTGGGATCACAGGCATGAGCCACTGTGCCTGGCCCTGGTCAGTTACTTTGAATCCTTGCAACTCCATGTTTTGCTGTCATAAGAGTTTTGTCTGGAAAAAGAGTTCTAGATTGATAATCATTCTCACTCAGAAATTTGGGTAGCTTATTCCATTATTTTCTTGTATTTAGTGTTGCCACAAGAAGTCTGATGCTACTGTGATTATTATTTCCTTTAGAATCATTTAGGACTTTCTCTTTCATCCCGGTTTTCTCTAACTTTGCTCTGATGTGTTTAGATGTATTTCTCTCATCCACCCTGTGTGACAACTTGGTGGACCCGCTCGATTAGAAGACTCGATCTTCTTAAAAAGCTCTGGAAATATTTCTCCAATTATTTTGTTGAATATTTTCTTCCTTCTAGTATCTTGTTTCTATTTCAGGAACTCCCATTACATAGATATTAGAACTTCTTGATTTATATATTGTCTCGTATTTCCTTTCATTCTTTTTTGAAACAGCTTTATTGAGGTATGACTCATATATCATACAATCCTCCATTTAAAGTGTTCTCTTTAGTGGTTTGTAGTATATTTACAAGGCAGCATAGCCATCTCTACAATAAACTTTAGAACATTTTCAGTATTCCTAAAACCCTATAACCATTATGTCACGCCTCTTTTCCCCAACCCATTCCCTCCAGCCCTGATTACCACTCTTTGACTTTCTATTTCTGTAGATTTGCTTATTCTTCAAATTTCATACACCTGGAATCATACAGTATGTGAATGGCTTCTTTCACTTACATTTTCAAAGCATACATTCACTTACATTTCAAAGCATACATTTGTTACTGGCCTCTTTCACTTCACATAATGTTTTACAGCATGTATCAATATTTTATTTCCATTTCTTTTTATTGCCAAATTCTGTTCTACTTACACACTTAACAGTTCACGAAAATTTGGGTTGTCCCTACTTTTTGGCTCATAGAGATCATGTTGCTATGAATATTTGTTATACAGATTTTTGTGTGCACATATGTTTTTATTTCTCTAGGGTATTACCTAGGAGTTAAGTTGATGAATCGTATGGCCACTCTATGTTTAACCATTTGAGGAGCTGCCAGACTGTCTTCCAGGGCAGCTGCACCATATCATACCCCCACCAGCAGTGTATGAGGGTCCCAGTGTCTCCATACCTTTGCTGATGCTTGTTATTATTTCATTTCATTCCATTCTTTGTCCTCATGGGCTAAGGTCTGGCGATACTACTCAGCTCCATCTTCCAACTTATTAGTAATCTCCATTATAAAGTCCATCCTTCCTCTATGGTTTTCTATTCTAAATATTCTATTTTTCATTTCTAGAGTCTCTAATTGATTCTTTTTCACAATAGCTTACCCTTATTTCATGGGTGTGATTTTTTCCCTTTGGGGATATGAATAATACTCACTTAAAGTTTTCTGTTGGCTTTAATAACTCTTTCCTTTCAGAGGTTCTGATTTATTGAGTTGATGTTTCTTTTTTTTTAAATTTTATTGCATTTTAGGTTTTGGGGTACATGTGAAGAACATGCAAGATTGTTGCATAGGCACACACTTGGCAGTGTGACCTGCTGCCTTCCTCCCCATCACCCACATCTAGCACTTCTCCCCATGCTATCTCTCCCCAACTCCCCTCCCCATGCTGTCCCTACCCTATTTCCCCCCGACAGACCCCAGTGTGTAGTGCTCCCCTCCCTGTGTCCATGTGTTCTGATTGTTCAATACCTGCCTATGAGTGAGAACATGTGGTGTTTGATTTTCTGCTCTTATGTCAGTTTGCTGAGAATGATGGTTTCCAGGTTCATCCATGTCCCTACAAACGACACGAACTCATCGTTTTTCATGGATGCATAATATTCCATGGTGTATATGTGCCACATTTTCCCTGTCCAGTTTATCATCGATGGGCATTTGGGTTGTTTCCAGGTCTTTGCTATTGTAAACAGTGCTGCAATGAACATTTATGTGCACGTGTCCTTATAGTAGAACAATTTATAATCCTTTGGATATATACCCAGTAACGGGATTGCTGGGTCAAATGGAATTTCTATTTCTAGGTCCTTGAGGAATCGCCACATTGTCTTCCACAATGGTTGAACTAGTTTACACTCCCACCAACAGTGTAAAAGTGTTCCTATTTCTCCACATCCTCTCCAGCATCTGTTGTCTCCAGATTTTTTAATGATCGCCATTCTAACTGGCGTGAGATGGTATCTCAATGTAGTTTTGATTTGCATTTCTCTGATGAACAGTGATGATGAGCATTTTTTCATAAGTTTGTTGGCCTCATGTATGTCTTCTTTTGTAAAGTATCTGTTCATATCCTTTGAGTTGATGTTTCTATTTTATGGTAACTTTTTTTTTTTAGATGTTTCATGATTTCTTAATTTTGAGATTCTCTTAAAAACTTGTCCATCTGTGAATGCTAATCTGATTAGATGTGATTGGAACAGCCTACTCAGTTATTGCAGAAAAGGAGATCTCACACTGCTGGATGCGTCTTGGCAGCCTCTCTCTCTCTCTCTCTCTCTCTCTCTGTGTGTTCCTAGATACTTTCTTTCTTTTTTTTTTTTTTACTTTAAAGTGTTTCCCCTGGTGATTCCATCCCACATCATAGCTTCAAATACTATCTATATGTGAAAAATTCCCAAATGTTATCTTCAACCCTGCCCCCCCCCATAAGCTACAGATCCACACATGCTCCTTTTCTTCAAAGCACTTATCTCATTTTGTAATTTTACATCCACAGTGCAATTATTTGAATAATGTCCATCTCTCTCCACTAGACTGTGTGTTTCATGAAAACAGAGATTATGTCTATTCAGGTCACGGATGTGTTACCAGGAATCAGTATGTTCTGAATACATACTTGTTAAACCACTAAATGAATGAGGTGAAACCACTCATGTGTGAGAGAGTCTGTGATGTCTTGGAGCAGTGACTGTGGGCGGCCATCTTTACTTGCTAACACTAGGATCAAATGTCCTGAGTTCCAGGGTGTGCCTTTGCCATGTAGATACCTTTGCAGTGTACATTCCCTCCTTGTAGGAAAAGAAGTTCAGTTTGTAGTCTTTCTTAGAGCCAGACAGTACATCAATGTAATCAAGGCCCTTCATAGCAACGCTTAGGTCTGGCTTCTCTGGTTTCAGTATTTCCACGATGACCCTGAATCTGGGGCAGCATAGGAGAACACAAGAGGGGAGAGGAAATGAGACCATTAACCCAAAGGAAAGAGGAAAGAGTGTTAGCTGTATTGATTTTACAGGAAGTGCAAGGTTCCAGCGTTCTAGTCTTTACTCTGTCACTAACAATAATGGGAACTGCCATTTACTGAGCACCTATATGTGCTAGGGACTGAGTGAGTGCTCTGTGTGTTACAGGCATTAATCCTTGCAGTATCTGTAGGAGGTATTAATACATATCATCTCCATGTCACTAAACAGAGGCCAAGAGAAGGAAGATAAGATGCTCAGGTAACATGACTGGATATTGGCAGAACCAGGATTCAAATTTAGGTCGGGCCTTTACCCACTATGCTAAGCAGGTAGCCTTCAGTACTTTCTGCCTTGTCTCCCAGGCTTGAGTTCCTTCTCTGTAAAAGAAGGGGACCATGCTCACTGGCCTTGAGCTCTCCTGGTGCCTGATTTCCACTCTGCTCCTATTGCAAGGACAAGATCCAAGATCCACTCTGGCCAGTGGCTTAGGTGGTAAGACAGAGGACTCAGTAATCACAGTGATGATTATCGTTATGATAATGATAACAGCTAACAACTTTTGAATGCTTATTTTGTGCCAGGCCTTGTTCTAGGGAACTTACAAGTAACTAACAGCACAGAAAGAAGAATCTCTCTAGAGGATTAGTGTTCAGGAAATGCCTGGTCACATCAGGGAACTCTGTCTCTGACTCCTCGAGCCCCTCCACATCCTCTAGAGGCCCTAAGTGGGGAACGACTGGGCTAGATGGCGGAAGTCCTTCTTCCATCTCCCCACCCAGACCCCTTGCCCCACCCCCTTACCTCTGGGGCTTGTTTAGCCAGTTGGTGACTGGCAGGAGTTCAGTGTAGGGGGTCTTACATGGCACTTCACGGTAGATATTGGCTACAGCTTTGGGGAGCTCAGAAGTCCCGTGTAGAGCATACAGCCAGCCAGTCCCATCTGGGAGGGGGAAGAAGAGGGTGCCCTAAGGAGAATAAGGATGAGATCAGAACAACACACAGCATTTTTTATTAGGTACCTATCTGACATGTAGAGACCCAGGATTAATGGAGGTTAATGAAGGCTCTGCAAATAAACGTAATACTTTGGAAAGCATCTTGGTGATATATTTCAGGAGACAGGTAATTTTCATATGTATCTGAGCCAGGAATCCCATCCCAGAGAACTTATTGAAGAAAAATCCCTCCGTAGGAAAAAGTTATGCATATCTATAAGAACCAGCTATAATGTTGATGAAAATTTGTAGATAAACATTCAACAAATGGGAATGTTAAACAAATTGTGGAACTCTCACTCCGTGAAATATTAGGCAGTTATTAAAAATAATTATCACAAAGACTGCATAGTAAAATAGAAAAATGCTAGTGACATATTGTAAAGTGAAAAGAAACTGAATGTAAAACTGGGTACATTATGATGACAGTTATTGCTATATCTGAGTAAGGATTGGTAGCGAAGATAGAAGAAAAAAGCTCCTTTCTTAATAGGGTGAAAGATTGCGGCCACTTTTCTTTTTGTTACAGTCACTATTATGTCATTTATGCAATTAAGTGAAACATTAATTACTTGATGCTTGGTCTGGACTGCATTTTAGAACTGAGCCCCTGGCTCTACGAGAATCCCCTATACATGAAAAAATATGAAAAAAGAAAGCCACAGCTTGATAATCTGTACAGTTCCTCACGATTCCAACATGATCTGGGTGCTTCCCATTTAACATTCTCTGAACTCTCAGCTTCCAAAGTGTATTTTTTTTTTTTTTTTGAGATGAAGTCTCACTCTATTGTCCAGGCTGGAGTGCAATGGTACAATCTTGGCTCACTGCAACTTCTGCCTCCCAGGTTCACGCCATTCTCCTGCCTCAGCCTCCCAAGTAGCTGGGATTACAGGTGTGCGCCACTATGCCTGGCTAATTTTTGTATTTTTAGTAGAGATGGGGTTTCGCCATGTTGGCCAGGTTGGTCTTGAACTGCTGACCTCAGGCAATCCACCCGCCTCAGCCTCCCAAAGTACTGAGATTACAGGTGTGAGCCACCATGCCCGGCCCCAAAGTGTCTTTTAACCTCATTCACACAGCATCACCTTCAGCTGTGCCAGGAAACCAGTGAGGAGGCCTAAGCCTACCTGGTGCTTGCGGTTCTCCAAGTTCATGGTGCGGGGCCTGTAGGTGATCTCATAGGGCTTGTTTTGCTGGTGGGGCTCCAGGGTGATGAACTCAGGCCCCTCCCAGTGCTCACCCTCAATGATGGGATGCAGATTCCAGGTCTGGTTGGTGCGGTTTGACAGCAGGATGGTCTGTGTGTGCTTGGACCGCACCTGGCATGTGAAATTCACCACCTGGAAGAAACAGGTACCTCATCTTCCATGGCACGTCCCCTTGGTCTGTCTCCAGGGCTAGAGGTACAGAATGTGTGCTGGGGAAAACTGATTTATTTTATTTTTTATTGTACTTTAGGTTCTAGGGTACATGTGCAGATCATGCAGGATTGTTGCAGAGGTACACACATGGCAATGTGGTTTGCTGCCTCCATCCCCCCGTCACCTACATCTGGCATTTCTCCCCATGTTATCACTCCCCAACCTTCCTGGCCCCCTGCTGTCCCTCCCTTGGCCCCCCTAACAGACCCCAGTGTGTGATGCTCCCCTCCCTGTGTCCATGTGTTCTCATTGTTCATCACCCGCCTATGAGTGAGAACATGCGGTGTCTGATTTTCTGTTCTTGTGTCAGTTTGCTGAGAATGATGGTTTCCAGATTCATCTATGTCCCCACAAAGGACACAAACTCAGAATTTTTTTATGGCTGCATATATTCCATGGTGTATATGTGCCACATTTTCCCTGTCCAGTCTATCATCAACTGGCAGTTGAGCTGGTTCCAGGTCTTTGCTATTGTAAACAGTGCCGCTATGAACATAGGTGTGCATGTGTCTTTATAATAGAATTAATTGTAATCCCTTGGGGCTGGGTCAAATGGAATTTCTATTTCTAGGTCCTTGAGGAAGTGCCACACTGGAAGACTGACTCTAGCAGTGCTTCCCATCATGAGTTTCAATGGATCTGTTTATTTTCTTTTCATTCACTCAGCACATACTTATGGGTACCTTCTATGTGTTAGGCATGGTTCTTGGTGGTGGAGATACAGCAATGAACAAAATAACAAAAATCTCTGCCCTTGAGCTGAGATTCTAGTGGGGAGAGACAAGCACACAAGTGGAGTATAGAGTGTGCAGGGTAGAAATAAGTGCCAAGGGGAAAGACAAAGCAGAGGGGGTGCCAGATTGGGAGTGAGTTTGAGTTTTTACACAGGGTGATCAGGAAAGGCGTCACTGAGCATATGGATTTGATTACAGACCAAGAAGGATGAAGTAGGGGAGATCTGGGGAAGAGCCTGAGTGTAACTGGCAGAGGAAATGCCAGTTACAAAGCTCCTGGTTTTGACAAAAGGCAGGGAGGCCAGTGTGGCAAATGTGAAGTGAGCAAGGGGGAGATAAAGTAAAAGGAAACAGCATGCAGGGCCCTGGAGTCATGGTAGAGACTTTTTTTTTTTTTTTTTTAAATTGAAAAAGGAGGACTTATGAGTGTTTTGGGTAGAGTGACCTGATCTGATCTATGCTTTAACAGAACTGCTTTAGATGCTTGGAGGTGACAGAGGAAGAGATTAATTAGAAGACGCTTGCAATAGACCAGGTGGGGGATGACAGTGGCTTGGGTGGCACTGGTAGCACTAGGGATGGTGAGAAGTGGATATATTCCAGTTGTACTTGGAAAAGCCAATACATTTAGTGCTGTATGGTATCTTGGGTGTAAGTGGAAGAAGGTTCAGGAATGACACCCAAGTTTTTAACCTGAGCAACGAGCAGAATGGAGATGCTCTTTACCGATGTGGGGTTGACTTTGGGAGGAGCAGGTTTCAGGGAGAGATCAGGAGCTTGTTTCATACATGTTGAATTTGGTATGTCTATTAGTCAAGCAGGAAGTAGAATTTACAAATCTGGAGTTCAAGGGAAGAGTCCAGGCTGGAGATAAAGATTTGGAAATTGTCAGCATAGCAATTTCATTGTTGTTGTTGCTGTTGTTGTTTTGTAGAGGTGGGAGTCTCACTATGTTTCCCAGGCTGGTCTTGAACTCCTCGGCACAAGCATTCCTCCTGCTTTGGCCTCCAAAGTGCCAGGATTACAGACATGAGCCACTGTGTTCAGCCTAACTGTTTTTTTTTAAGGCCAAGAAACTGGGTAAAATCAACAAGAAGTGATTATATTTAGAAGAAAGAAGGAATCTAAGGACTAGTTCTTGACTGACAAACTCCAATGCTAAGAAGAATCAGAAGGTCGGGCAAGGTGGCTCATGCCTGTAATCCCAGCACTTTAGGAGGCCGAGGTGAGTGGATCACCTGAGTTCGGGAGTTTAAGACCAGCCTGGCCAACATGGTGAACCCTGTCTCTACTAAAAACACAAAAATTAGCTGGGCGTGGCAGTCGGTGCCTGTAATTATAGCTATTCAGGAGGCTGAGGCAGGAGAATCGCTTGAACCTGGGAGGCAGAGGTTGCAGTGAGCCGAGATCGCGCCATTGCACTCCAGCCTGGGTGACAGAATGAGACTCTGTCTCAGAAGAAAAAAGAATCAGAAGATGAGGAGAAAGAAGCTGGTGGGTAGGAAGAAACCCAGGGGAGAGTGCTGTGCTGAAGCCAAGTGAAGGAAGTGTTTTCAGGAGGAGGAACGTGTTTATGGTGTCAAATGCTCCCTATAGTTCAAGAAAGAACTGGCCATTAGATTAAAAAATGTGAACACTTTTCACAAGATAGAGCCGAAAGCGAAGAAGGAAGCTCCTGCCCCTCCTAAAGCCGAAGCCAAAGCGAAGGCTTTAAAGGCCAAGAAGGCAATGTTGAAAGGTGTCCACAGGCCGGTGCAGTGGCTCACTCTTGTAATCCCCGCACTCTGGGAGGCCGAGGCCAGTGGATCACAAGGTCAAGAGATCGAGACCATCCTGGTCAACATGGTGAAACCCCGTCTCTATTAAAAATACAAAAATTAGTGGTGGATGCCTGTAGTCCCAGCTACTCAGGAGGCTGAGGCAGGAGAATTGCTTGAACCCAGAAGGCGGAGGTTGCCATGAGCCGAGATTGTGCCATTGCACTCCAGCCTGGGTAACAAGAGCAAAACTCCGTCTCAAAAAAAAAAAAAAAAAGGTGTCCACAGCCGCAAAAAAAAAAGAAGATCCGCACATCACCCACCTTCCGGCAGCCCAAGACACTGCGACTCCAGGGGCAGCCCAAATATCTCAGAGAGTGCCCCCAGGAGAAACAAACTTGACCGCTATGCTGTCATCAAGTTTCTGCTGACCACTGAGTCTGCCATAAGGAAGATAGAAGACAACAATGCACTTGTGTTCACTGTGGATGTTAAAGCCAACAAGTGCCGGCTCAAACAGGCTGTGAAGAAGCTCTATGACACTGATGTGGCCAAGGTCGATACTGTGATTCGGCTGATGGAGAGAAGAAGGCATCTGTTCGACTGGCTCCTGATTATGATGCTTTGGATGTTGCCAACAAAATTGGGATCATCTAAACTGAGTCCAGCTGGCTAATTCTAAATATATGTATATCTTTTCACCATAAAAAAATATGAACAGTGTGGTTTTGGCATAAAGATAGTCAAAGAGATCAATAGATAAGAACAGAGTTCAGCAATAAACCCACATACATATGATCAACTGATTGTTGTTTATAATCAATGACAAAGGTGCAAAGTCAATTCAGTAGACAAGAGTCTTTTCAACAAGTGGTACTAGAACAACTGGATATCCATGTACAAAAAATGTTTTGATCACTATCTCCCACTATATACAGAAATTAATTCCGAGTAGACTGAAGACCTAAACACAAAACTTATGTTTGGAATATATAAAGAGCTCTCAAAACTTTAATAAGAAGACCAATGACCTAATTAAAAATAAACAGAAGATTTGAACAGACACTTCAACTAAGAAAACATACAGCTGGCAAGTAAATATTGAAAAGTTGCTTAACATCATTAGTCATTAGGGAAATAAAGCCTCAATGAGATACCTCTACATACTGATTAGAATGGCTGAAATTAAAAAAACTGACTCTCAATTATTGACAAGGATGTGAAGAAAGTGGATATGTCAGACTTTGTAAGAAACAGTCTGGCAGTTACTTACAAAGGTGAACATACACCTACCACAAGACCTAGCCACTCCACAGCTAGGTCTTTATCCAGGAGAAATGAAAGCATATGTCCTGCTAAGACTTATACACACAAGCTCATAGCATGCTGTATGATTCCATTCATATAACATTGATTAACAAGATTATAGACAGGGAGATTGAGTGTCATTTCTACCATAAGCAGTGTTGCCAGGTAACACGGCTGACAGTTCAGTTAGGTTTCCAGGAACAGGGCTAGCAGAGGGATATAGCAAGGCCATTTTTTTTAACCATAGAAAAGGAGAAAGGTGTTAATGCTTTACTCATAGATCTTAGAATTCGATCTAGCCAGGGATGTCAAAGCAGGCTTCCTTGAGAATGTAATGCTTCAGATGAGAGCTGAAGAATGGAAGGGAATAAATTAAATGAAGAGGAGAGGAAAGGATATTCCAGTAGTGGAAGCGGTGTATTCACAGGTCTCGTGGAGGGAGGGGACCGGCCTGTGTATTTGAAGGAGGCCTGGCTGAGTTCACTTGCTGGGGTCTCTCCTGCCACTGGGGTAGCCCAGGCAGCACCTACTAACCTCTTTTACTGCAGGTGGTCCCACGCAGACTCCAGACAGGGTTAGGCTCAGAGGATTGCCTCCCTGGATGAAGCAGAGAATGTTTTTACAGAGGCTCTCCTTTCCCACCTCGGTGGGATGGTAGGTCACTTCGAAAGAAACCTCCATGCCTGAGGTAATATAGCCTTCTTCTGGGCTAATGGAGAAATGAGGCTCAAATTTTTTGATGTCCCATTTAAACCTTTTCCAAGACAAAAAAGACAAAGAAGAGAGTTTATGGATGTTGCAAGGGTGTCCTCAATGCTACTGAGAACAAGAGATTCTGCCTGGGCTGTGAGGTTCACCTCCCTTGAGCACATCCTAGGACCTAGGAGGATAAAGAGCTGCCAGACAGAGCAGGAGCACTGGGGAATGTGGGCCAAGGTCACTGGGCAGGTGGACCTGGCTTCCTTGCGGAGCTGAGCCAAGGGCAGGAAGTGGCTGCATCTTATTATCCACGAGCGACACGTTAGGGAACATATGAACACATAAACACACGTGTCATGTACTCGAGGTCACACAGCTAGGAAGTAGCTGGGCTAGGACGGAAACCCTTCCAGGACTGTGGCCTTAACTGTTCCCTGCCCTGCCCATCGGTTCAGATCCTGGAGGGTGGCAACAATCCCTTCCTGTGAGAGTTGCCTCTGTTCTGGGTGGCACTGGCATCCCATGACCCGGTGCGGTCCTCACTCTGCGGTTGGGCACTCACTTGTCTATAAAGTGGGTTGGGAGTAGTCTTGGTCTCATGGAACCGTAGCTGGATTAAATGACATGTGCCATGTCAAGGCATGAAACAGGCATGGAGTAAGTGTCTTCTGTTCTCTCAATTGCAGTAATCATAGTAGCAGCAATCACCCCAGCAAGGTCACTGCTGACACATTTTGAGGGAAGCAGGGGGATGGAGAAGGGAGAGGACAGAAGTAAAAGGTGACTGCACTTACAGAACAAGTCCAGGGCAGATACAGGGCCTAGCACTCATGGTAGAGACTTTTCTTTTTTTTAGTAGAAAAAGGAAGACTTATGAGTGTTTTGAGTAGAGTGACCTGATCTGATCTATGCTTTAACAGAACTTCTCTAGATGCTTAGAGGTGACAGAAGAAAAGAGATTAACTATAAGACACTTGCAATAGACCAGGTGGGGGATGACAGTGGCTTGGGTGGCACTGGTAGCACTGAGGGATGATGGAAAGTGGGTATATTCCAGAGGCCTCTGCTGCAGCCTTAGGGTGGGAGGCACTGCTCCCCTACCTTGCACCCACATCGCCTGTGTTCGACAGGAGGATGCGACGCATGGCTTGTGTCTGATACACCACGGGTCCGAAGGGAACATGTTCCTGGTCCAGGGAGATCTCCAGGGCCTGGCAGCAGCCGCTAAGGAGAAATAGGGGGCGCAGGAGTCCCATGCATTCCATGAACACCTCCTCAGAGAAGGGAGGGACGCGCTTCTTCGGGGCAAAGATGATGTCCAGTTTGCAGACTTCTTTGGGCTTCAGCGTGATGTTGCGGAAGGGCACCAAGGTGATGACCTGAATGAAACAGCACCCAGAGTCAGCAGCTGAGGGCAGGAGGCTCCCAAGGCCTCAGTTCCTTGAGGTCTTGCTGCTGGGATTGGAACAGGGGTCAGATCTCACTCCTGCTCTCCCATCAGCTATGAATGCTTTGGTAAATTACTTAAACATTCTGTGACTTAGTCTATGTTGAAGATTAAGATCATCTCTATAAAATCTGTGGCACATAATAGGTATTCAGTAAATGTCCTTTCCCTTTCCTAACTCTTTCCTAACTTATTTTGTGCATTTCCTTCTTTCTTCCTCCTCCCTGATAGAGGAAATAGAAACAGGAAATAGGAAACACATAGAGCTCTGGCGTTTCTCAAGGAGTGTTCTCTGCCTCAGTTTCCCTGCATGGTTGTTAAAATGCAGATTCCGGCTGGGTGCTGTGGCTCATGCCTGTAATCCCACCACTTTGGAAGGCTGAGGTGGGTGGATCACTTGAGGTCAGGAGTTTGAGACCAGCCTGGCCAACATGGTGAAACCCCATCTCTACTAAAAATATAAAAATTAGCTGGGCATTGTGGTGCATACATATAGTCTCAGCTACTCAGGAGACTGAGGCATGAGAATCGCTTGAACCTGGGAGGCAGAGGTTGCAGTGAGCTGAGATCACACCACTGCACTCCAGCCTGGGTGACAGAGTGAGACTCCTCAAAAAAAAAAAAAAAGCAGATTCCTGGATCCTGCCCCAGACCAAATGAATCAGAGTCTCCTGGGGAGAGCCTGGAATCCGCATTTTCAAAAGTTCCCCAGGTGACTCATGTATTCTAAACTCGAGGACCACTGCACAAATGTGTTCAGCTTTCTCTTTCTCTCTAGTCCTGGTAAAAAACAAATCCAAGTCAGCTTTAAGGAAGCCAAGTCCCTTTTTACCTGTAAGCACTCTTTGGTACAGAGCACTGACCAGTTACCAGTGAATGGACGGTGGCAGTATGGAGCAAGATTATGGGCTATGGAGCCGTGACAGGAAAGTCACCTTAGAGACTTCTCTAACATGATGATGTGGGAAGCTAGCTTCAGGGTGTTTGGCGCAAGCACGGGGCACTCTGGCAGCTTTAACCTGACCAGCTGAAGAGGCAGATTTGGTGTGGCCAAACTGTTAGGGACCCTGACATGCTGGAACCAAGGACCTTAATTTGGACTAGTGAGGAAAGGGAAGCAGTAAGTCTTCCGTGCCTTTCCCAGATGGCAAAGTAGGCACATGGGGTTCTGGAATGAGGTGCTCACAGGGTCTCTTACCTTGGCTGGCTTCTCACAGCCAGCTTCTCTGTACCTTGCCATCCCCAAATGACCTACAGTGCTCTTTCCACACGCCCCTTCCTAACCTGTTGAGGGACACCTCTTCACACTGTAAAGTTCGGTACAGGCCCCTCTCCATGGGAAGCCTTCTTTAATCCCCCGAACCCTCCTCCAAGAAGCCCTGATCCTGATTCACACTCTGTCTCTGTAGTTTCTACACTGTCCTGGGACTGTTTATGTGTCTGTGACCTTCAAAGACTGAGATCTCCACCAGACCAAGGTCTGTGTCGTAGTCACTTTTACTCCCGGCACCTAGCACATATTACTGCGTGAGTGTAAGAATGAACCTCAGGAAGGAATGGATGGAGTCTGGTATTGGAATCAAACATATTCGGTGCATTTTCAAGGGTCATGCAAAACTGTTGGCTGTAAGATGAGTAGCTGGCAACCAGGACTGGTAGCTTCCATGTTCAGGGAACTGGAGGAAGTAGACTTGACAATGAGCATGCTTTCCTCTCACTGCTGGTGGGTGTGCAAAGTGGGACAATCTTTCAGGGGGCAGATTGGCCACACATACTGAAACACACTTTCCCGTTTGAGCCAGTGAGCCCACTTTGAGGAATGTACCTTAAGCACAGAGTCATAGATGCACACAAAGGCTTGAGGAGAAACACCTGAAATGAGCAAAAATAGAGAACCGGCCTATCTACATAACGAAGATGTAAATAAACACATGAGAATGAATGATGTGGAAAATGAAATGAAAATGCAAAATAATGAAAATAATGTTCATTTTCACAAAAACAGTATGGGACTAGTGCACCCCTATAAAGCCCTATACTGTTTTTGTGAAAATGAACAGAGAGAGCACACGGAAGGCTCTCAGAATGCTCTGGCGCGTTACAGATGCACAAGAAATTGTGAGCTGTGAGTGTTGTCAACATGGCCATCCTCATCATCAGGGAGCATGAAGGGGCCCCTAGGAGTCGCTCGGAGCACCAACCTTGGGTTCCTGGAGTTCTGGAATTGAGAACATAACAGACTGGTTAAATGTGAGCTGGGCCAGGCTGTTGTTCTTGACGGAAACGGTTCTTTTCACAACCTGCCCTGGTAGGACAGCTCCCAACTTCACAATCCTGTTGGCTGGATCTAGGACTACAATCTGTGGGACAAGAAAGAGAGTAGGAAGAAGAGCTCATTAGTTAAAGAGAAAAATAAACATATGTCTACTCTGGTGAGGCAAGGGTGGTTCCTTCTCTTTCAGTGACCTAACTTCTTCATATTGGGTGGGCACTGGCCTACTCAATAAGCATTTAAGTGCCTAAAATGCCCACTGAAATACTCATCACACAATTATACAACTACAACTGGGTTAAAATATATGTAGGCAAATCTCAGGGCACCTTAAGAGCATATTACAGGAGGCTGAAACCAGGCTAGGGGGCTCGGGGAGCCTTTCTGAAGATGGCATGCGTATATTGAGAGCTAAAGAAAGATATGAGCTAGTCAGTTTGAGCCAGAGCACGTGTGGAATTGGGAGAACAACCTAAGGCAGGGAGATAACCTGTGCCCAGACCCTGAGCCAGAGGGACTGGCCCAGTCAAGGGCTGAGGCTGGGCACTAGGACCTGAGAAGATGATGTTAGCGAGGTGGTCAGATCTTGCAAGGCCTTGCCGGCCACTGCTGAGTGAGAAGTGGGAGACGGCTTCATTCTGGGAGCAAGGGGAAGTCAGTGAAGCATGGTGTTTGTGAGAGAGCTCTGGCTCCCTTCTTCACAGAGAATGGGCTTGAAGAGGGCAAGAAAGAAAGCAGGAGTGATAGGTAAGGGTGGTTTGGATTAGAACAGTGGCAGGAGAGGCAGAGAGAAGTAGTTATGCTTCCAAGTCCTCAGGTAAGACACGGTTTAAAATGGTGCCTGGATCAGGCCAAGGCCAGGCTGAACCTGCCCTCCAAAATGGCACTGACCCACAATGAGCAGTACCCACTGGTCACTGCCATGTGATCAGTCACTAAACTGCACCCCTCCACCCAACTATCTTTAAACCCAACCTACGTTTCCAGTTTGTCTAAAAAGGCAAGAGAGTCTCCCCCACCAGCCATGAGCTCCTGGATGTCTGAGAGCATGTGTAAGTCACTTCTGCATCTTCCCAAAGTACCCAACACACGATGGGTGCTAAATGAACAAATGAAAGACCAATAGGAAAATGAATGCATCAATGGCATCAGAAGAGACTCTGTCTCTGGCTTGGGTCCAGACACATTTGTTGGCAATGTCCTGTTGCTCCTATGGCTTGATGGAAAGGCTGCCAGGAATATACCCAACTCCTGGTTGCTGAAATACCCTATGCATTCTTTAAAGTCTTGGAAGGATTCCAATCTTCCAATACCTTCTATTAAAATACAGATAATCCCACCAGACAAGCACCTCACATGTTTACTAGACATGAGAAGGAAACGAACGAGCAGCAAAATGTGATCATTCCCTTCCTGTCCAGAGTACCTGGGTAAAAGGAATGCCCTGAACCAAATATCATCCTGGGATCTGTGGCTGGCTGGAGGATGCTAATCAATGGAGTCTTGATCTAAGGAAAGATGTTCCATTACTGAAACACGTGTCTGTATACACTGCTTAAAAGTGTCTATTCAGCCTGAAACCCAACATCTCTAATGTGGAAGGAAAAGGATATACTTGGGGTGCTGAGTCTGAAAGTCTCAAATTTCTCCAAGGAAAAAAATGTTTCTCTAGGGTCTGTATTACCTGTGCCCTTTTACACAGTAAAGTTTGGTATTGAATACGATCTATGATTCAGTGAGTCTGATCTGGCAATTTGCCCCTTTGTGTTGTTAGGAATATCATCTCAGTGGGACTGGCTGACTCCAACAGAGCAGCCTGGGGCAGAGAAGCAGAGGGGCTGGAAGGGTGAGGGGGTTCTGGGGGGACAAAGAAGGATGAGAAGGGTAGGAAGGAGTTCCCGACTATCTGTTACCTTCATTTCAGCACCCTTCCCTTTGATTTCGACTGTTTGTTGTGACAGCCCATTGATTTCAAAGGGGATGAGTTCTTGATAGTTGATACTTTCTCGAGGATAAAAAGTTATTGGAACCTCCAGTGTCTTTCCTGGCTTTATCACATCAACACGGCAGCTCACCTCGAGGTAAGTGGTATTGGTGTACAGACAATCTATGCTGCAGAAAATCAAGAGGAAGAGGCGTAAGCTCCGAGAAGTCTGACCTAGAGGGACAGAGGCTATCTCCTTGTCTCTTGGGGTGGGGCACTGCTGGGTTTCCTGCCCTGCTGTCCTAGAGTTGCAGAAGTCATTTAAGAGCTGGAAGGGAGGTCGGCAATGACCCAGCCCATGCTCTCTTAGACACAACCAAGTTGCTCCAAGTCATATCCTGAGATCCTGGCTGAACTGGGTTTCAAACTCAAGGCTCATCACCCTTTAGCCAATATTCTTCACTCTATTGATTCTCTATTTCTTTCTTTTTTCTTTTTATTTGGAGACAAAAGTCTTACTCTGTCACCCAGGCTGGAGTGCAGTGGTGCGATCTCAACTCCCTGCAACCTCCGCCTTCCAGAGTCAAGCGATTCTCCTGCCTCAGCCTCCCAAGTAGCTGGGATTACAGGGGCATGCCACTGTGCCCAACTAATTTTTGTATTTTTAGTAGAGACTCGGTTTCACCATGTTGGCCAGGGTGGTCTGAACTCCTGACCTCAGGTGAGCTGCCTGTCTTGGCCTCCCAAAGTGCTGGGATTACAGGCGTGAGTCACCGAGCCCAGCCTGATTCTCGATTTCTTGATGATGCATTTTATGGTTTTGTACATGAGGGCTTTGTACCCTCTCATAAGAAGGAAGTGCTTCCAGAAGTAATGGGGTGACAAAGCACAGTAGAGAAGAGTATGTGTTCTAGAGTCAGGCAGAGAGGAGTCTGGATCCAGGCTCTGTCACTAATTAGCCAGATGATCTTAGGAGGGTTATATAGCCCACTTGGGTCTCTGTTTTCTTATCTGTAAAATGGGGGGTAGTGATAACTATTTCATAGGGCTGCTGTGAGGATTAAATAAGATTAAGTGATTAAAGCAGTCATTAAATAGGGCACAGAGAAAATATTTCATAAAGGTGACCTGCCCTAATAATAATAATTATTATTACTATTGTTCAACTACAAAGTGTCTTAAAAGATCATGTCCACCCTACTCCACATGTGGGTGGGAAGGCACTTGGCCTCTCCATTACAACCTCTCCTCGTCTGCCTTACAGTCTGTAGAGAAGGAGTTTAGGTAGGCCAATGCATAGAACTCAATGCCTTAAGCAAAGTAAGATTGAGATTACATTACATCATGCAAGAAATAGTATAGACAGATAAGATTTAAAATTACATGACACACTTATGACTTAATATTCAGAGTACTAACAATAATCATAACAACAACAGCATCAGCAGTTAACAATAATTGGGCATGTCTTATGTTCCAGGCAGTGTTCTAAATACTGTTCCTAGGTGAACTAATTTAATCATCCTAATAGTCTTATATAGATGGTATTATTATGACTCCCGTTTCAGGCAAGGAGACAGAGGAGTACAGAGTTTTAAAAATTTGCCTGAAGTCACACAACTAGGGAAGAGCTGAAATTTGAACTTAGATCTATGCTATCCAATATGGTGGCCACTAAACACATGTGGTTATTAAAATGAAAATTAACATTAATAAAAATAAAATAAAAAATCAGTTCTTTAGTTTCACTAGCCACATTTTAAGTACTCCAAAGCCACGTTCAGCTATAGGTCACTGTACTGGACAGTGCAAATATATGACATTTTCATCATTACAGGAAGTTCTCTAGAGTACTAATAGAGAGCTTTGAGTAAACACAGGTCTTTGGGCCAGACCCTGGAGGTTCTGTCTCATTAGGTCTTGAATGGGGCCCAGAATCTTGGACTAGAATATACAGGGATGGTGCAGAGAGGCTGGATTTGAATCAGAAAGCTTAGGCTCAGTACAGATCTGCTATTTACTGCAAAGCCACTGGCCTCAGAAATTTACCTTTTAACTATTCAAACTTCAGTTTCCATGTCTGTTACATGAGAAAATAAATGGAAGCCATAAAACCTGTCATTAGGTCATTTGACATTGCTCTTAGAACTCCACAAAGGGGATTTTCAGCAGGGTAGCTCATGGCTACCTAAGTATTAGTGTTAGTTGTGGGGAGAGGGATCCAGGATTCATACCCACTTAGGCTTGACTCTTTCCCATAATCATGTTTTTTTTTTTGTCTTGGTAAGACTTCACCTGTGTGGAGGCTATAGGACCCACAAGCAGCTGCAGAATCGTCTGGAGGCTCTGGGAAGCCTGCTTACCTCATAGGTGTTTCTTCCTTGTTGGTAATGACCAAGGTTTGTTTGTAAGGGGGCATCCCAGCCTGATAGATAAAGCAGGTCCCAAAGTTGTAGCTGGTGAAGGAGAAATGGATAGCCGGGGTCACAGCACAGCCTGAGACGCTACACATCAATGTTGGGCCATGGCTGATCTGTGGGGAGGAAACGGCAGGGGGACCATGATGAGGAGAGGGCTCTTAAGTCCTCAAGTGAGGCAGGAAAGCAGTTGGTGCTTTAACAAATACAGGCCTAGGGGTACCATTTCCAGAGATTCTGATTCAGTAGGTTAGAAGTTTATGTATTGAAGAAAAGCTCCCTGTAATCAGACCCTACATTGCCTCCCACTTTGCTCCTGCACCAGTGACTCAGCTTGAAGGTCCAGGGGTATACCAGGCCCTGCTAGTTACTACCCAACATCCGCTCCTCATGGCTTCCTTCCTAACAAAACTCTGATTGGATGCCAGTGTGCCTTGGTGCAAATGCTTCATATCACACCTTCCCCTGGAAGGTCAGGATGGCCATCAGACATAGTTGCGGTGAATGAGATGTAAACAGAAGAGGACAAGAGGGTGTTCTATCTTGAATAAAGAGGCAAAGCCTTGTTGGGGAAGTTCTCTGCCTTCAAGCTCTTCCCCTTTCTTTTCACTCTGGAATGCAGACATAGGACGTCAGGTAGAATGGTCATCTTGTGACCAGGAGATGACAAGAATGAGAATGAGGTTAATATGCCAAGGATGATAGAGTGGGAGGATAGAAAGAGCACAAGTCATCATCTGGAATTTTAATCACAAGGTAGCATGTGACTCATCGGTACATGAACTTAATTTGCTCTTCACAAACTCCTCATAATATGAATTTTCACAAATTGATAATTGATTTCAGATAAATTATTATTCATTCTAACCATCTTTAGACTAAAAATTACTAGAATAAACAGTAGAATAAACATTCATTTTAAACATGATTAGAATAAGTCAACAGTCATCGGTACAAGCTATCATAAACAACTTTATAAATTTAAAAACATTTTCTTATTCAAAACTTTTATTTTCTTTTTCTTTTTTTTCAACTTTTATTTTAAGTTCAGGGGTACATGTGCAGGATATGCACATGTTTATGCAGGATATGCAGTGTTTACATTTTGTGGCTGATTCAATGAAAAGGATGTAAATTTATCACCTTCAACTATTCTGCCAACTAGAGTAGAAAGATCTTATGTTATGTTTCTGTTTGGTCTAAGAAATGCAAGTTCTGAAAAAGACAGTTCTCAAAAGGAATAGGTCCCTCCTGAGGCCGCAAACCTGGCTTTTCTCAGAGAAGATGGCTGCAACTTTTCTGCTGAGCTCCAGGCCAAGAAAACAGAGGATCTTCCTGAACTCCCAATGGCCAGTGACACACCTTGGATTTTTTTCAGGGCTTGAATGTTTGTCCCCTCCAAAACTCATGCTGAAATTTAATTGCCATTGAGATGGTATTGGGAAGTGGGACTTTTAAGAAGTGTTTGATTACGGGGGCTTACCCTCATGAATGGACTAATGCCATCATTGTAGGAGTGAGTTTGCTATGGCAGGAATACATTCACTGCTTCTTGCTCTCTCTCTTTCTCTCTTTCACTCACTTCCTCCTGCTCCCCACTTTTCTTCCCCCAACCATTGCCCTTTCATTGTGTGATGCCATCTGCCATGTTATGATGCAGCAAGAAGGTCCTCACCAGATTCTGGCAACTTGATATTGAACTTCCCAGGCTCCAGAACTGTGAGCCTAAACATTTCTATTCATTATAAATTACCCAGTCTCAGGCATTTGTTATAGAAGCACGAAATAGACAAAGACAGGTTCCAATGGTTTTACCTCCACTTTTCTGTCAATCACCTTCTTCTTGAGGATTTGATAAAGATGATGTGTTAGACTGGGCATCCCAAATTTCTTTTCATTGTAGTTGAAGAACGTGCTTTGCACGATTTCAATCCGTTTAATTTATTGAGGTATGTTTTATGGTCTAATATCTAGACAATCTTGGAAAATGTTCCATGTTCACTTGAGAAGAATGTCTATTCTCCTGTTGTGGGATGAAATGCTTGCAATATGTCTGTTAGGCCCAGTGCCTTCAGGGTAATCCCAGCTGTTCCATCTTCAAGTTTGCTGAGATTTGTTTCTCTTTTTTTCAACTATTTTATTCTATTTGCCACAGCTGATTCTTTCTTTTGCGATATCAACTCTGCTGCTGAGACCCTGTTGTGAATTTTTCATTTCAGCAATTATGCTTTTCAACTCCAAAATTTATATTTTTATAATTTCTATCTCTTTACTGATATTATCTATTTGGCGAGACATTGCTCTCATCCTCTGCTTTAGTCATTTAGACATGGTGTCCTATAGTTCTTTGAACATATTTTAAATAGATGACTTCAAGTATTTGTCTATGAAATCCAATATCTGGGCTTCCTCAGGGACAATTTCTATTGATTGCTTTTTTCCCTGTATATGGGTTATATTTTCCTGTTTCTTGTCATGTCTCATATTTTTTTTTTTTGGTTGGAAACTGAAGATTTAAAGTAATAAGTGCAGCATCTCTGAAAATCAGATGACTGCCCTCCCCCCACCCACCTCAGGGTTTGTTACTGTTGTTACTCTTAGTTTGTTTAGTAACTTTTTCAGTAAAGTCTATATTCTTATTTATGCATTGCCAATAAAGTCTCTGCTCAGTTAGTTTAGTGGTTACCTTATGATTGAACAGAGATTTCCTTAAATCTGGAAACAATAAGTCTCCCAGCTTTTGCTGAGAGGCTTTCTGTGTGTGGTGGACATGCCTTTGACACTCAGGCAAGCAATTCCCAACTCTGCTTTGTCTTTCCCGGGACCTAAAGATTAGCCAGAGGTAAGAGCTTAAGGCCTTCACAGGTCTTTCCTGAGCAGTAACACAGCCTGGAGGTACACACATCCTATACACGCATGGCTTTCTAGATTCCAGGGAATATGTTGAAGCTTTTCAGAGCCCCCCCATGAATATCTTTTTCCCAGCCTCTCCTTTTAAGTTTTTCAATCAACTTCTTATTTGCCCCTAAGGTCAACGCTGCCTCCATCAGCTGCAGTGTTAAATCACAACAGATTGTTTTTGAGCAAGCTTGCAGTCAGGTCAAATAAAAGCCATCCCTATGAGGGGGGTTTCCACTGAACTTCTAGACAGGGCAAATAATGACAATTCTTTTAGAATGAGGGCTTTTGGGAAGTTCCAATTTGTTCTACCTTCTCCAGGGTCTGATTCTTTTTTTTTTTTTTTTTTTTTTTTTTGAATTGTTGGTTTTCAAGGCTACTGCAGAGCTGGAATGAGGGAGGAGGGAGAGAATAGGGCAAGTCAAAATGCCATAAAGTTCGCTGTCCTTATGAGTATTCAGCCGTTTTTCTTGGATAAGTACTTCTAGGATTGTTGCAAGCCTATCATTAATTTTCAGGGTTCTGAAAAAGTTGATCTCAAATTTTTTTTCCAGTGGTCTCATTGCTATTGAAGAACAGTGTTTTAGATGTCCTCCTCTGCCACTCCTGCTGACATCACCATTCTTTGTTTTTTTAATTCAATAATTCATCTTAGAAAATGGTGTATAGATTCTTTCCCTGCCCCCATCTATCACTGTTATTTATTTTAATGGGTAAATGTATTGCAATGCAACTGCTTTTCAATCCACATTTATTCCCCAGGCACCTCAACCACGGATGAAGCCTTTATACTAGACATTGTGAGGCTGTGTCCAACACAACTATCCTCTAGGAGTTTCTGGACGTGTGGAGAAGACAAAGAACACACAGGAGAATTAACCTGTTTCCAGGCAGCATGCTGAGAGTACTTTTGGAGTTTGGACAATGTTAAATGGACTTGCCTTGATTTTGAGTTCCAGATCTGTCAAGACACACTTCTTAACTGGATGAAAAGACAGGATGGCATGTACACTCTGCCCCACATCCACAATGCTGTCGGTGGGTGAAAATTCCAAATACTGCAGCAGGGCTTTGGAGCCAGACAGCTCTGCCTGGAAGCTGAAGGTGAACTTTCCAGTGTTGATAAAGTTGAATTCACACTGGACACATTCATTTAACTCCACCTAGGAGACAGAGAACAGAGCAGTGAGTGCAAACCATAGTTTCCTTGCCTGGGGTCAGCATTTTTAACATGTTGATAAAACATATCCTTTGGGAAATAAGGATGGCAGATGATGTTGGTGATTTGACTATCTTTAGCCTAATGGAGTCAGATATTCCAGCAAGAGCTACTAAGCATTGGGGTCCTCTTGTACCTCATAGACCAAAGCGGCAATTGAGTTCTTAGACCTTCGTTGGTAGTCAGATATCCTTCCTGTATGTGTAACACAAGCATTCTTTCTCCTCCCCACCATCTCTCCACCCCCGAAACATAAAATAAGAAAAGCATTCACATCATATCTACATACATTCTGTGGAGAGAGCTGCTCTTGGAAGGTTTCTGTTTTCCTGGTCTCTTTGGCATTTGAAGCAGAAAGTCTCAGCTCATATTCATTTGTAATACCTTCCCCAGTCAGAATGGAAGCTGAGATAGATGGCACCTTTACCTCATAGAAGTTGATAATGTTCGTCTGGTTGGGAGTCAACAGAGTGATGGTGCCTGTCCTGTCCTTGCACTTGATCTCTGCATTCATAGTGTAGCCCTCGGCCTTGACATTTAACCTCAGAGGGTGGACTTTCTTTTTCACATTGCAGATCAAATTAAAGTTCACATCTCCTTCCTGCTTTGGTGTGAAGAAAATATCAATCGGAAACCTGGTCGGGGAACAAAAGAGCAGATTAATTGCCCAAGCCAACTTGTTAAAAGCTTAAAAAATATGAGCCTACTAGATTAGCAGATTCATTATGAGAAAAAATATAACCCCAAATTATGATGAGATTTTAAGATTTGTGGCTATGGTAACCAAAACACCATGGTACAGGCATAAAAACAGACACACAGACCAATGGAAAAGGATAGAGATTGCAGAAATAAAGCCACACACCTACAACCATCTGATCTTTAAAAAAGTCAACCAAAATAAGCAATGGAGAAAGGGCTCCCTATTCAATAAATGGTGCTGGTATAGCTGGCTAGCCATAAGCTGGAAGAATAAAACGGGACCTTTACTTTTCACCATATACAAATATTAACTCAAGATGGATCAAAGATTTAAATGTAAGATCTCAAATTATAAGAATACTAGAAGAAAGCCTAGGAAGCACCATTGCGGACATCCGCCTTGGGAAAGAATTTATGACTGAGTTCTCAAAAGCCTTTCAATAAAAACAAAAATTGACAAGCGGGACCAAATTAAATGACAACAAAAAAGCTTCTGCACAGCAGAAAAAACCGCTATAAACAGAGAAAAGAGGCAACCTACAAAACAGGAGGAAATATTCGGAAACTATGCATCTGACACAGGTCTAATCTCCAGAATCTCTAAGGAACTTAAACAACTGAACAAGCAAAAAACCAGATAACCCCATTAAAAAATGAGCAAAAGATATGAAAAGACACTTCGCAAAAGGAAACAGAAAAGTGGTCAACAAACATGTAAAGAAATGCTTCACATTACTAATCATCAGGGAAATGCAAGTCAAAATCACAATGAGAAACCATCTCATACTAGTCACAATGGCTATGATTAAAAAGTAAAAAACAACAAATGCTGGCGAGGCTACAGAGAAAAGGGAATACTTAAACACTATTGGTGGGAACGTAAACTTGTGTGGCCACTGTGGAAAGCAGTTTGGAGATTTCTCTAAGAACTTAGAACTATCATTCAACACAGCAATCTCATTATGACTTGAAGTCATTTTAGCGAAAAGACACATGCACTCTCATGTCCACTGCAGCACTCCTCACAATAGCAAAGACGTGGAATCAATCTAGGTGCCCACCAACTGTAGACTGGATAAAGAAAGTGTGGTCCATATACACCACAGAATGCTATACAGCCACAAAAAGAATGAGGTCATTTTTTGCCACAACATGGATGCAACTGGAGGCCATTATCCTAAGCAAATTAATGCAGAAACAGAAAACCAAATACCTCATGTTCTTACTTACAAGTTGGAGCTAAACATCAGGTGCACATGGACGTAAAGATGGCAACAATAGAAAAGGGATTACTATGGGGAGGGGAGGAAGGGAGGCAAGGGTTGAAAAACGAATGATTGAGTATTAAGCTTAGTATCCGTGTGATGGGCCCACATGTACCCCAAACCTCAATATCATACGGTAAACCCGGCAGCAAACCTGCATGCATCCCCTTGAATCTAAAATAAAAGTTGAAAAAAAAAAAAACCTGGGCCTAAGTCTTACACCTTATAATGTAAGTTAATAAAAAAGAGGTTACAGACTGAAACGTAAAGCTACAGGTGGCCAATGCCTACACGAGCTGAAGCTACAAACGCATGTTAATTGTATGTGTGGTTATATATTTACATAACTGCACAATTTTTTCTTTAAAAGTGCCCAAGACAGTTTATAGGAACACTAAAATATCTGAAAAATCACCAAAATGTTTATGAACGTAAATAAGCTAATTGTAGTGTATTTATATCACCTCACAGTGTAGAGCAATAAATGTGGATAAAGCGCACCTACAGACAACAACAGAGATCAATTTCACAATGTTGAGTAAAATAAGATGACCAAGAATGAGAACTTATTGTTTTAATCTATTTATTTAAAGTTCAAAAACAGGCAAATCTTATTTATTGTATAAAAAGTCAGGCCAGGTGTGGTGGCTCATGCCTGTGATCTCAGCACTCTGAGAGGCCGAGGCCGGCGGATCACCTGAGGTCAGGAGTTTGAGACCAGCTTGGTCAATATCGTGAAACCCCATCTCTACTAAAATAATACAAAAAGTAGCTGGGCATAGTGGTGGGCACCTGTGGTCCCAGCTAGTTGGGAGGCTGAGACGGAAGAGTCACTTGAATCCGGGAGGTGGAGGTTGCAGTGAGCCAAGATCGAACCACTGCACTCCAGCCTGGGTGACAGGGCGAGACTCTGTCTCAAATAAAATAAAATAAAATAATAAAATAAAATAAAATAATTAAAAGCCAGGATATAAGTCACTCTTGGGAATAGTGACTGAAAGGGAGAATAAAAAAGAGAGTGTCCAGGTTGTTCCCACTCTTCCATCACTGGGCCCTGGGTTCATAGCGTATGCATTTTGTAAAAAGGTTTCAAGCTGTTTTTAATGATATATGTGGGTAAAATTAAAAACAAGATTTTTTTATGATATATGTGTATAAAATTAAAAACAAGATTTCTCATCAAAAAAAAAAAACTTATGGAAAAAATAATGGAAGGACATTTTCTGAATCTGGGGCTATTCAGAGATGTAGAGCAGACATGAAAAGGACAGTCCATAGAAGGACAAATAGATAATTTGGACTCCATCAGAAATAACAGGTTTTGCTCTGTGAATGACCTTGTTAAAAAGAGGAAAAGACAAATTACAGATTGGGAGAAAATACTTGCAGACCTCGTGTCCACTATACATGTAAAGAACTCTCAACAATCAAAAACAAAAATCAAACAGGCTGAGCAGATTAGCTGGCAAAAGACAAGAGACTTTCACCGAAGAGGCTCCATAGAAGGAAAATAAACATGTATGTATTGTGTGAAAGGGGAGGTTAGCACTCCCCTTGACAATGTTGGAAGAGGTCCTCGGGCCTGACAACACTCATATGGAAAATAAGCACATGCAAAGATGTCCATTATTATTCATTAGGAAAATGCTAATTAAAACTACAATGAGATATCACTATACACCTATCAGGAGAGCTAAAATAAAAAATTGTTGCCAGGTGCAGTGGTTCATGCCTAAAGTCCTAGAACTTTGAGAGGCTGAGGCAGGTGGATCACCTGAAGTCAGGAGTTAGAGACCAGCCTGGCCAACATGGTGAGGCCCTGTCTCTACTAAAATACAAAAAACAACAACAACAAAAAACCTAGCTGGGCATGGTGATGCATGCCTGTAGTCCTAGCTACTTAGGAGGCTGAGGAAAGAGAATCACTTGAACCCAGGAGGCAGAGGTTGCAGTGAGCCCCAGATCGCACCACTGTACTCCAGCCTAGGTGATAGAGCGAGACTCTATCTAAAAATAAAAAAAATTGTGACAACACCAAATTTTGATGATGTTGTAGAGACTCTGGAACATTCACAGAAAGCTGGTGGAATGTAAAATGGTGCAGCCAGTCTGGAAAGCATTTTGGCAGTTTTTTTTTTTTTTCTGGAAACATGTCATTACCATATGCACAGTAATTGCAGTCTTGCTCATTTTCCCCACTGACATAAAGACACACAAAAATCGGTACATGAAAGTTTATAGCAGCTTTATCCATAACAGTCCAAACTGGGAATAATCCAGAGTCCTCCAGTGGGTGAATAGTTAACTATCTGTGGTGCATCCCTACTATGGAATGGAAGCCAGTCATAAAAAGGAAGAAACCCTCAAAACAACCTGGATGTATGTCCAGAGAATTACGAGTGAAAAACACCAATCACAAAAGGAATGTATGTGTCTGTTAATACAACATTCCTGAAATGACAAAATGGTAGACATAGAGGAAAGTATTGGATTCCGGGGGTGAGGAGGTGTTGCTTGGGGGAAGAGAAAAGGTTGTGGCAACAAAAGGGGTAATCTTGGCTCACTTCAACCTCTGCCTCCTGGGTTCAAGTGATTCTCCTGCCTCAGCCCCCGAGTAGCTGGGATTACAGGCATGCGCCACCACACCTGGCTAATTATTGTATTTGTTTGTTTGTTTGTTTTTTGAGACGGAGTCTCATTCTGTCACCCAGGCTGGAATGCAGTGGTGTGATCTTGGCTCACTGCAACCTCTGCCTCCCAGGTTCAAGCGATTCTCCTGCCTCAGCCTCCTAAGTACCTAGGATTACAGGCGCCCGCCAGCATGCCTAGCTAATTTTTGTGTTTTTAGTAAAGATGGCATTTCACTATGTTGGCCAGGCTGGTCTGGAACTCCTGACCTCAAATGATCCACCCACCTCAGCCTTAATGATTGTATTTTTAATAGAGATGGGGTTTTGCCATGTTGGCCAGGCTGGTCTCAAACTCCTTACCTCAAGGATTTGCCTGCCTCAGCCTCTCAATGTGCTGAGCTTACAGGCATGAGCCACCACACCTGGCCTGAAAATTAAAAGTTTAATTGAAAAAGAGATCAGCCAGGCAAGCCTGAACATTGCACTGTGGATTTACATATACAGTATATAGCAAGGAAAAGAACACAAAGAGAAAATATTGAGATAATGGGCTTAGAATTCTCAATGCTCCACATTGATCAGGAAAACAGATATCAGGGAGTAAGTAGGATGGAGATGGAATTGCCACGATCTAATCTTAGAGTTGAAAATGCTGATATAAATGGGGCGCTCTGAGCGCTGGCAGGTTTGGGGACCTGGCAGTGTCAGGAGGATGCAAATAAAATGAGACCTTCATTTTTGTTTACCTGGACAGTGGTGGGATCCAGCCTTCCGTGGGACATACAAGCAGGCTGTTGCTGAAACCTTCAGAATAGCGGGAGTTGTCCTGGAAGGAAAAGTCGAACCCCTGTTCCTCCTTGTTGATGATCTGCACAGTCTCCCTGACTTCTCTGCCTGAGGAGGAAACACAAGCCCTCAGTGGGGGCCTCCTGCCTGCCCGCTGGAATCTCTCAGCAGACACTGCTCCAAAGGCAGGAGAGACCCTTTTTAGAAGACTTTCCCCAACCTCTTCAGCCTTTGTCTGCCTCTCTTCTTTCCTTTTCCTCTACAAGTCACCTTCCTCCTTTCGGGGATTCCATGTCTTTCTTCATCAGTTGCCTGCTCCTGCTGGTGTCTCCTCTGCCCTGGCCATAGCTCTCCTGGGATTCTGCTGATACTGTTTTCTTCCCTTGCTCCTTTAGACCCAAGAATTGTTAATCCCTTCCTGAATTCGTTAATGGGGGCTTCACTCTCCTTGGTTGACCCCTTTAACTGCCCATGTATCCATAAATAATCCTTGTATCGAATTCTTTAAAAATAGACTTTGGGTAGGCTGGATGCAGCGGCTCACACCTGTAATCCCAGCACTTTGGGAGGCTGAGGTAGGCAGATCATGAGGTCAGGAGTTCAAGACCATCCTGGCCAATGTGGTGAAAACCTGCCTCT